CCCCCCCCCCCCCCGACAGAAGTCTTATACTGGCCCATTTTAAAACAATATTTGGCCCTAAATAAAACCAAGCTTTGATTACTGAGACCAGCATGATGGCCCATACCTGTATTCCTAGCACTCATTAGGCTGAGGCAGGATTACCAGTCTGAGGCTCGTCTGCAGTTAAGTTCAAGACTGGCATAGACTACATAGTGAGGTGTTGTCTCACACAAAAAAGATGATTTCATAGAATTCTAGTGAAACATAAATATCTTAGGAGAGTCATAGAAATAACACACTAGAACTAGAAGAACCCTTTTAATAAATTCAATTGAATTCACTATGTGATGTATATTTCTTCAACAACTGGTGATTTTTTCCCAGTTTTTTAATCTCTTCAATGAGGTTAAGCTGTTTCAAGTACAGCAGTACAACTTGGAGTTCTGCTTGCTACAAAGTTTCTCATTTCACAGAAACAAAACATGTTCATCCCATTCTAACTAAACTGTCAGTTCCCTGCTGTCATTCTCTCAAATTTGGCCTTAATCTAGTTTCTTCAGTTTTCTCCTGCTGTGATGATGCACCCAAAATGAAACACTATAAACCTGAGTCAGTCCTTGGAATAACGCTTTTCAAACTTGCCTGTATTAATTATTAAAAACGCATGGTTTTCAGGAGTTGGGGCATAGCTGCTCAGTGATACAGCACGTGCCTAGCTATGCGTGAAGCCTTTGTCACATGAAAAAGCAATTCATTTTGTAAACTGAAATAAGAGGAAAAAAATCACAACACACCGTATACGAGTTAACATCTTTTTGTAAGACTCAAGTTTCAGACATATTGATGAACATATAGGTCATAAAACTATGAACTGAGTGGGTAAAATGCATTTCTTAGAGTTTGTGGCAAAAGCCACTACTTCATAGAGTGTGCTGCAGTGAGATAAGAGAGAAATTTACCCAATTTACATCCAAAGTGCTATATTGAATTATCAGCATCAGTACTGGAAGAAGTTAAGGTTCTACTGCCAAATACTGAAATACTTACGAGGGAGCAATAGTCAAGTAGAGTGATGTAAACAGAACTCAGAAACTGAGCTGAAACTTGGAACACAGAGTACGGATATAAAATCATGAGTTTTTTTATCTCCTGAAAGAAGCGGGATCCCCAAGTACACTCAGACGCCAGATGCTGCTGCAGTCTGTCTACCAGCGTCTCACATAAGATCAAAGCCCTCTCAAAACACAGCTGATGGGGCCGAGGAGATGGCTCAGTAGGATAAGTGCTTGACTGGCAAACGCAAGGATTTGAGTTCAATCCCCGGTTCCGCCGGGGCGCGGGAGAAACACAGCTGATAACATCTTACTATGGCATCCTTGAGGACATTTTTTTTCCTTTAATCAAAACTTGTTTGTTTTTCTCAAGGAAGTAGGTGATGGGAGATAAACATCCCCAGGTTGTTTGTTTTTTGCATACTAATCTCTTTTCTTATCACAGCAGTCTCATAAAGAAGTTATTACTACTCAACTTTAAAGCTAAGTAAACACACTAGAGAGGGTTAAGTTTCCCAGCGTCACACTGTCTGTACTTATTATAATTTTTAATTTTTAGTTGGCACATGGTAACTTCTGGTTGGTACATATTCCTTGGGAAGCTCTTTCAGTACTAAATTGCTCCATGGACCGCCAATATTTTCGTCTATTAGTTGTGCAATGAATGAGTGACAACTGGCTCAGGAATGGCCAGGTAATTCCACATTAATCTCTGTCATTTGCAGTCACTGATCAGTCTTCAGGCAAATAAAATGAGGCATATTAATCTGCAGGTATGAAAAATATATGTCTACCCAAAAGCCAAATTTGTCTTCAGTCGTAAGCCGGGCAGCAATATAAACACCAATGTCAACACTCCAAAATTAAGTATATTCATACTTAATTCATACTTATTTCATTCGCTAGAGGCTAATCGCCCAACTATTCCTTGGCCCGGACTCGGCGGCCGCTGAGCGGAAGCAGGGAGAGCACCGAGCGCCGCGGGCGACGACCCAGCCCTCCGGGACCAGCCGGGCCGCGCAGGGCGTCCGCGCGCTGCTGCACCTGCCGAGGCTGGCGCCGCTCGTCCGGAGCCGCATCGCGCCGCCCGGCCGCGGCCTGCCCGCCGCCCCGCTCACCTCCTCGCTGTGCGTGGACGGGCACTTCTTCCGCAGGCGACCCCAGTTGAGCAGGTTCCCGGTCTGCAGGTGCAGGGTGCTGGCCCGCGCCAGGAGCGCGCCGGCCGCGCGGCTGTTGGTGCCCATGGCAGCGGCCGACCGAGGGGCGACGGACCGCGGGCGGGCGGGCGGGCGGCAGG